TGAGCCCAGGAGTTGGAGGTTGCTGTGAGCTGTAATGCCACGGCACTCTACCCAGGCGGACAGCTTGAGGCTCTGTCTCAAAAAAAAAAAAAAATAGCCAGTGTTGTGGCAGGCACCTTGTATTCCCAGCTACTAGGGAGGCTGAGGCAAGAGAATCACTTAAGCCCAAGAGTTTGAGGTTGCTGTGAACTGTGATGCCACAGCTCTCTGAGGGCAACAAAGTGAGACGCTGTCTCTAAAAAAAAAAAAAAAAACAAACAACAACAACAAAACCCAAGAACAATAAAAAACACTCAGGCCTATCCCTCCCACTCATGACCCTCCCTCCTTGAGTCCCTTCAGTATCCACTTGTTCTAGAACTCCTTATCTTAGAAAAGTAAACATGAGACTCCATGGTTAGCAGGGAGTCCTCATCTTTTCTCAAACCTCCAGAGCACATTCACCTGTGTAGCCATACGCCTGCTTTTTCTATTGTTCATCATACCTGAAGATGATCCACTGGACCTATAATAGTTTGTTCTATAACTTCCTCACCTGAGAGTGGCAGGGCCAGCACCCTCACTGCCCAGCATCTTCTCTGGCATCTCTGGGGGCTGGGGAGTGGAGAGGAGGAAAGATCCCTAACCCACCCAGGAGACCATCCTCTACTCTAGCGGTTCTCAACCTTCCTAATGCCACTACGTATTTTCATTATAACAAAGGGGTCATGACCCACAGGTTGAGAACTGCTGCTCTATTCCTTGGCATAGTACCTGGTCAACCACATCCCTTCGTATGAGGAGGGGAAGATGGTGGGTGATAGCCAGAAGAAGGCTAACAGCCCGATCCTGGGGCAGGAAGGGGAGCAGCCGGGCCACCAGGGCCTTCCCCTTCCTCACAGACAGCACCTGCAGGAAGCCATCTGCTGCCTCCCTACAGGAGAAAAATGAGAGCATTTTCAGGGTTCAGCATAGCTGAGAGGACTACATGTCAGATGGGAAAGGCAGAAGCCAGGCCAATGTCTTTGCTGCTCTTTCCCTTCCTGGGTTCACATGGGACCCTCCCACACTCACTCCAGGTTATTGTGCTCCTGAGTCTTCAAGGCCTGGAAGAGCTGCTCAATCTGGTTGTTGTGCTGCTTGGAGAAGTAGGGCTGTGGAGGCCCATCCTTCTGGCCCTCCTCTATCTCTAGTAACTGAAGGAACATCTGAGAATTTGAGGGTGGAAAAAGTAAATTTGAGCAACATCCCATTCTCAAAGGTAAGTTAGGAACTCATCCCCAAAGAACTAATTCTCTCACCTTCTCGATCTTATATAATACCCGAAGCCTCTGGCTACTTGCAGTTCCTGTGTCCTAGGAGACAGGAGTGCCAGGTGATCAGCCATACTGCCAGATATAAAATCTGATTATACTTTTTCACTCTTAGGTCACATTATGTACTAATGCATGAGTGTTATAGACCTTTCTCCCAAGCAGGGAAGTAAGAGAGGTTCTGGGGAGATCATGTTCCTACCTGCTCTTGAGTTCCGTGGGATACAGCATCAATAGCTCGGCGAGGGCTAAAACATGTTGATACAGCTACCTGGCCCAGGGAACCCTCAATTCTAACAACTGCATGAAAAGAGCCAGCAGAAACATATTGCCTTTCGCTTTCCACCCTGTCACCCAACCCAAAATAGACAGGTCGGTGCTGGCTCTACCTGACTCATAAGCCTCTGCCTTCTGTATATAAGGTGTCACCAACTTGAGGGAGGACTCAACCTTGTTCTTTTGTCCAAGTAGTTCATCTTCCTGCTTCTTCTCCAGCTTCTGATAATATTTCTGAGAGTCATGGAACAAGAAACAAACCAAAAAACTCTATACTCATCTTCTGAACTTAGCATTAATGTTCTCAAGTGCAACCTCTTCACAGCTCATACTCCTACAGCATTCATTCCATAAATGATGCTAGCACCTTTAGATTTCCTAGAAGTTATTCTAAAATGTTTTAAGCACCCTGGGCTCCATGTCACCTGTCTTGGAATTCCTATACCAGGTACTTGAAGAGCAAAGTCTCGCCACCATGTCTGATGACAAGGCAGAGAACCACGTGGAAAGCCTGGAAGCAAACCTGTTCCAGCATCTGCAACCTTTCTATGTCCTTCACTTCCAAGCACACACACACTGCACACCACCTGTCCTCTTCCTTCCCATTTTCATCTTGTGATCCTACCTGTGCTTTCCCCAAATCAAAGTTATCTAATGGTGTGGAGGCCATTGGCAGCTTGAAGTACAGAACACGCCCTAGGATGTATTTGTTAGTTGGCTTCTAGCTCAGTCTTATGCTCCTCTGTTGATTTGCTCAGCAGCTTAAACATCTTAAAGCTAAGTTGAGAAATACTAAACTAAAATAAAGCCACTGAGTCCAACAATTATGGAATAAGGCTTATTTGTTTAGAAACAGCACCAAAAAGGCAAGAGTACAAAGCCATTTCACTTTCAGTGACCCTAGCAGAAAAAAAGAGTGTGTTTGAAGCTTGGTGAAAGGAAAGTGGGAAGAAAACTAATGTAAACTGGAAGGGGATAAAGGTGGGGACCTTGAAAGGGGGCTTATGGATGAGAAGGAGAAAATGAAACAGCCTAGACAAACCAAAAACAGGTTGGACAAAGATTTGCTTCATAAATAAAGGGGGGTGGGAAGCAAGGGGAAATGAGTCGATGTCTGGAAGCATTTGCTCAACAAATTGAATCCCACTATTCATCAGAGATGCCTGTGTTTTAGACCTGAAACGTAAAAGGTAAGTAGGTGCATATTTATCACAAGACATTTCTAAGACCCAGAAAAGTTTGTAAAGATGGGAGAATCCACATTTCCAGGGTGAATAGGCAAACTTTTCAGCAAAGAATGGAGACAAAACCTGAGTGGGGAATTGTGAATAATCCCATCTGATGGAGTGAGTGTAGGAGAATAGAAATGAGCTTGAGATGTCAACTTTAGAAATACTGTCCCTATGGTGTAGTGATGGTCTCTCTCACCTGAACAGACTTGGTCTCTGTGAACCAAAGAGGGTCAGAAAAGATCAGAGAGCCTAGGGAGTCAAGGCCTATTTGACCCTGAGGTCAGAGGCTGGGACAAGCACGCCGGGGCTCACCTGGTAGTAGTAGTCATCCAGGTTAGAGTTCTCACTCTGCAGCTGAACCATCTCCACTTTTATCACCCAGTCCTTCTCTTTGCGGGTCATGAGGTTAGCATAGGCATCTGGCTGCTGAGTCCAAGGCTTCTTGGCTAGGGGACTTCAAACCAGGAAGAGCAACCCTTTAGATCTACCCACCCCTGCCACAGAGAACCTCCCAAGGAATGGTGAACAGGGAGTGGAGCTCTCTGGGAAGAATGGGGGTGGGCCTAGAGGGGGAAAGAATAGGAGAGTCTTAACTGTGCAGGGGCTTTGGAGGAGGTGGCTGGTTACAAAGGAACACCCCACATGCAGATGTGCTCCCCTTAACCCTGCTCTTCCTTGTCTAGGCTTCACCTTGGTGTTCGACTACGCTGCTTTTGCTGCAGGATCCGTTGATGCTGAGGATGGAGCTGAGTCAGGTGACTAGGAAGACTTAAAAAGAAATGGGCTGGATGGAAGGAACACTTAGCTTCCTACCTGCTTCATTTGCTCAGTCCCTGGTAAGCTTAGGTAGACATCTAAGAGAATCCTGTCTTTATGTGCCTCCCCAAAGTCAGTCTCATAACACATCACAATCCCAGGCCAAGAGGGCTCCTATTCACCGCCCCCCCCCAATTTATTTTCCTGCAATATGGCTGCAGGGAATCATGGCACAGTAGAAAGCCTTTTAGCCTGGTTGTCCTAAGTTCTGAGACCCAGTCTCAGTTCTGTCATGCTAATTGACCTCAGATAAATATTTAATCTCCCTGGGGCTTCATCCCTCATCTGTGAGGAAGAGAAGACTAGACTTAGTTCTGTCAATTAATTTCTGTATTTTTCTGTGGCAAACTGGTAGGAGTAGCCCCCATCTCTCCCTCCTGAGCCACCACCTCTGAGACCTTTGGGGAGAAACTTAGCTTGTCCTGATGCTGGAGTTTGTGGAACCCTGAAACAGTACCTGAATCTGGGGGGCCACGAGGCCGGCAAGCTACAGAAGAAAGATGGGTCTGGTGAGGGTAGTCGAGGTCCAAGGTTCCATGCTGGAGAGCTGGTGCTGGGAAACATAGGCCAGAAAGGGACTGCCGACAGGTAGTCCAGGGTCTGAGAGGGGAATTACGAGGTCTCAGAGAGGGCTATCTCCAAGAGTGTTGCTTTTGCTGCTAGAGGCTTAGTTCCTTTCCTGTCTCTGTGGAACCAACTGCTTTTTCCCTCAAGAATGTCACCCCAGGCTCGGCGCCTATGGCTCAACCGGCTAAGGCGCCAGCCACGTACACCTAAGGTGGCGGGTTCGAATCCCCAGCCCAGACCCGCCAAACAACAATGACGGCTGCA